TTCCGTAGGTCTAGGTCGACGTAAACTTTATTATTATACTAAAGCCAGTAGTAATCGTTCTTCTAAATCCTTAATAATTCTAACTTTACCTATTACTTCTAATTATTACCGTCGATATAACCTTAATACTTATAGGTAGTGGATTCTTCTCGGTATATTATATAATACTCGGCCTACTATTAAAGCGGATATTTAAGTGTACCTTCTATTATTTCTTATAATAAAGGTAGTAACTCCTCTCCTACCTTCTTTTCGTAATAATCCGCCCTTTTATTTAAAGTATCCGCTCTTATATTCTTAAACCCTTTCTTATAGTAGATTTAGAAATTAAATTCTAATAAAAATTCTAATTACTTACCTTACTTAACGTTAAAGACCTTAATAATAATAAAATACTTTAAATTCTTATAATCCGTATAAACCTAAACCTCGTAATTAATACCGCTAAAGTATAATCTCTACTCCTCGAAGACCTTAATAATAATAAACAGCTTTTTATTATAAATAAAGTAATTCTTATATAACCCTTTTAATTTCTTCGAAAAGAATACTACTAGGTATAATTTCCTATTTTCGTTTCGTTATTTTAGCTACCCTCCGATAATGTAGTCGGAAGTATTTATCTCGACTTTAAAGGGTCGTTTTAGGTCGGGGAGCTTAAGTATTAGGTCCGCTATAATAGCGTTTTTAATAACTTAAAAAACCTCCTCCTACTTCTTTTCCCACTTAAATTCGGCGTCCTTTTTAGTAAGGTCGTTTAGTAGCTTCGCTATAGCGCTATAGTTCCGTATAAATATCCGATAGAAGTTCGTAAATCTTAGAAACTTTTAAACCTTTATCTTTAGCTATTCGGCCGTTTTTATTTATAGTCTCGGCTAGTTCTTAACTACCGTAATTTTCCCTAGTTTTATTCGCACCTCTTTTAATAAAATAAAATACCCTAAATAAACCGTTTTTTATATATAGAACTCGCTTTTATCCTTATTAACCGATAATCCGGCTCCGTATAGTACGTTTAAAATCTTTTTAACGTACTTTTTATATTCCTTTAGAGTACGTAAGTAGATAAGAATATCGTCGAGGTAGTAAACTACTATTTTATCGAAGTATTAGCGAATTATATAATTAACGAGGACTTAAAAAGTCGCTGGTATATTTATAAACCTAAACGGTATAATAAGGTATTTAAAATATCCGTAAAGTATGCGAAAAGCTATCTTTTATTCGTCTCCTTCCTTAATTCGTATATATATATACCCGATTAGTATATTAAGTTTAGTAAACTATTATACTTTTAATAGTTAACTTTTTAGCTGTAAAATTAATAGTAGTAGGTAACCGTTCTTTACTATCTCCTAATTTAATTGTCGATAATCTATATATAATTGTGGGCTTCCGTTCTTTTTTAGTACGAAGAAAATAAAATATCTAGTTAATAATGTAAATACTTTAATATATCTTTTTTTAATATTTTCGTTTAAATACTTCTATAACTCCTTACTTTACTTATCGTTAATATAGTAAACCTAGAAGAGCTTAAGTTTCGCTCTTTTTTTAAACTTAATCTTATAGTCCTATAGTCCCCTCTCAGGTAAACCTTAAAGGTATTTTACCGTAAATACCGGATACCTCCGGTATTCCACCGGTACCTCTTTCTTTTCGCTTTTCTTTATATTATTATAATAAGCGTATTTATCTTTTATTACTACTATAATTTCTACTAACGTAACTATTCCTACTAACCCTACTTCTTCGATTTTACCGCCTTTATCGATTAAATATATTAATACTTCTCGTATCTTTTATAGTAATATTGTAGAGAGTACTTATCCCGCACTCTACTCCTACCGTACCCCTAATCTCTTATCGTTAATTAAATACTCCCGATATTCCCTTAATCGTAAATAACTACTATCCTTCTAATCGATATCTAGGTTATAGTTCTCATACTACAGTTGCCCTAAAATTATATCTTTTTCTAGCCCTATATCTATAATATCGAAAATCACTATCGTTATTTTTCCTAATATTATAATATCTAATAATAATATTTCCTTAATTACCAATTATATAAAGAAGGGTCCTTTTATAATAACCTTTTCCTCCTTTTTCCTTTATAGAACTCGGGCTTATTATATAAATCTTAATAAAATTAAGTCCGCTTCTACTCCACTATCCACGAATACCTACGTTTAAAAACCCTTCTAACGTACAACTACTCGTAACCTTTTATCTTTTATACCCCTCCTCTATACCGCAACGACCTCGTTAATATATTATTTATAGTCCTCTAGAGGTTTTCGGCCTCCGCGAAAGGCCATAGCCCTTTTCCCGACTATTATTATACCTCCAGAGCGTCCTCTTCGATCAAACTATCTAGCAGTTCAAAATCGGCTAACCATCGTCGTTAAACTTCCTTCTACTTCTTATTCCTAGCACTATTCTAAACCCTTTTCTTATTACGTACCTTTCGTACCCTAGGGCTAGCTTCGTAGTACTTCCGGGCCTTCGCCCGCAAGTAAAAAGTATAATCTACATTCTTATACCCCGTTAAGCCGAATCCGTCGGTATTCTCTTCCTAATTTACTATCCAATCGAAGCAGCACCTTACGTACCTAGGTATAACCTATATAATCTAAAGTCCATCCAATTCGACCGGGTCCTCTAATTTCCATAGGAAATAATCGTCTAACTCTTCCTCCGGTATTCTCCACCTCGCAAGTATATTCCGTACCGGTATCGGTTCGCCCATTTAAGTAAACCCCTTAATCGGCCAATACCGGTTAAGGGCTTTTAATTAATAATATTCCTTATATATATAAGTAATACACTAAAACTATAGTATCCTCCTATACTCTAGATATTATAAGTGGACCTATAAAGTATCCCCTTCGTAATAAGTATATTATCCGAATACTAAATATTCTCTTAATACTTACGTAAGCCCAATATTAATTATCGGTTATAATACCTAATATTCACCCTAGGTCTTTTCGCCTGTAAGGAATATTATAAATTCGTTATTAAACTCCTTCTCGGGGATAATCCAATACTTATTTCCTTACTATAACTATATAGTTAGCTAGTTACTATTAATAACTTACGCTACCTTATTTTCGAGGTTACGGTATTACCGTTCGATAACTTCTCGCTATTCCTAAAACTCTATTATTACCTCCTCGAATCTTTAAATTTACTCCTCTACCCGCTTTATAGTCCCTTCTATATCCTAAACCGAGGCGTTAACTAAAGTAAAAACCTACTTTAATTACTATATAGTTTCCTTAGAGGGCCTTAAAGTAATACTTTCTTCTAGTTTTATAGCCCCTTTAATTAGTAGCTCTTATCCTACAACGCAGTCTTCCCCTTCGGAATCGACTATTAACTCTCCTTCCTAAGCCTCGTACCTATAGTCGCTATCGGTATAGTCGTCCGTTAAGTCCCGAAAATCCTTATAAGTATACTCGGCATTAAAGATCTTAATAACCCGTATAATCTTAACTACTACCGCTATTTCTCTTTCTTTCCAACTAAACTACTTAGGTAACCGGCAATCTCTTTTAAAGTGGCCTATCTTCCTACAGTTAAAGTACTTAACGTCGTTCTTTTCTTTAAACCGTCTTTAAACTATATCTACTTCTATAGGCCCTACGTAGGTAGTTCCTAAAATGTAAGTTCCGTAAAGCCGTCTCTTTTTCTTATCGTTAGGTCGGTAGGGTCCCTATATATATATACCCTTACGCTTCTTACGGCGCTAATATTACCGATCGTCGATACGGACCGCTATTATAATATATTCGTCGATAATCTCCGGTCGCTCTTATCAATATAACTTATCCTTAACTTCTTCTTTAAGCTCGTTATAGAATAATTATATTAACCTTTCGTTGTTAATCTTACTGCGGAGTACGTCCGTCCTAAACACTATAGCGTAGTCGGCAATAGATCTAATCTACTTAAGGTTAACTAATCGCTCTTAGGTACGCCTACCTTTATCGTACTCTCCGAATACCTCTTTAATCTTCTCCTCGAATCCCTTATACATCTTAAAATACTTCTTAGTAATATCCTCCCTCTCGTCGTACTTATTATCGAAATAATCTCCTAGGATTAATTCGAACTAAGTAAGGGCCTTGTCCTTAAGCCTAGACGCGGCGTATACTACTTTAGACTCTTCGTCCGGGAAACGGGAAGGGTAGTACCGAAAATATACCTTAAGTTAGATCAAAAATCCCCTTAATTCTCCTTTTACTCCTCTGTAACGGTCGGGAACTTCGAATTTAGCGCGATCTCCTTCTTTACGTAAGGTACCGATTTCCTTGTAGAGTATATTGTTCTCCTACGTAAGGGCGTTGTAAGAGAGGCGCGACTTATCCTCGAGCTTTTAGATACGAGTAAGGAGTTGGTCGATAGTAGGTTAGGTATTGGTATTTCCGGCTATAGCGTTTAACTTAGCGCCTTTAACTTATCCGATAATAGAGTTAAAGTGAGTATATAACGTATAACGAACCCCTGTATAGAACCTCTAAAAGGGATACTCGGTTAAAGGTAACTTTTAACAATTAATTCGGTATAATTAAACAGTGTACAATAAAATATCTTAATGTAAATATAAGATCCCGTAAATATAAGCTATAATTATATACTGCAGAATTATCTATAAGCTATCTAATTCCTCCGTATATATAGACCTATTACCAAGACCCGGATTATTCTATCCTTCGAGAATCATAGCTGACTCCCGAGGATCATAATAATTCCCAGGAATCATTCATGATTCCTCGTGTCCCGGATGATCCTCTTCCTATTGGTCTATCCTCCTTTCCTTTGATTGGCTACCGTGCCTCCTCTTTCCCATTGGTTGTTCTCCTCGGGTATCCACATCATATTCGTGACACCCACCTTTAGTTATCTAAGGTTCCTTCGGCGGAACTCCTCTAACTTCTTAAAATAATTAAGGTTTATAGTATTAATTATAGTTAGGCTCTTAGGTATTTATTAACTTTATAGTATAGTGTATAGTACGCCGATTATTATATCGGAGGCGCGGGTTTGATTCCCGTCGGGGTTTTATATTTAGATTTATAAGTACCGCTTATAAATCTAGGTATTATTCTTTTTATTTAGGCCGGTTTAAATATCGCCGATAAAATTCTTTTAATTTATCCGGGTAATTTAAATTTACCGCTAATTCCTATAAATTATCTATAATTAAGTAATTTAACTAATTAATTAAGTATTTTAATTAACCTTCGTTAAATTGTGAATCTAGTATTTCTTCTATATTGTACTTTTTTTCTTCGTCCTCCGCTACTTCTTAGGTATTAGTTTTACTTGCCGGTAGTGTAGGTTCTAAAAGAGAGATATGAAAAGTGTATGACCGTAGATATATTGTACTAGGTAGTTTTAATTTATATACTGTCTCCGATATCTTCTTTTTAACTTTAAATAGGCTTACTCTCCTATAGTTTAACTTCTTACTAGGCCTTTTTGTACGAAGATTACGTGTTAATAAAAACACTTTATCCTCCTTCTTTAAGCGAGGTCCTTTAAGCCGTTTAGTATTATAGTATTTATATATATATTTTTAAACGAACTTAAGCTTTTCTTTAAGTTTAGTGTATAATATATATAGCTTTCCTACTTTTACTACCGCCCTAAGCACCTTTGCCTTTAGTCCTTACCGTAGATCTACCTTAAAACTGTAGTTTATAAAGAATAGTGTGACTTTAGTTATCTCCGTAGGTACCGTATTATACGCAAGTTATACCGTTAGTAAGAGTTTAACCTAATTATTTTATTCGAAATTAATATAATTCCGAAGGTATTATTCGACGATCTAATTAAACCTCTCCGTCTAGCTGTCCGTCTATAGGTAATATATTAATAATACCTTATTTTTTATTCCTATTTACTTTATTAAAGCTTTTTAAAACTTTAATATAAACTTAGTATTATAATCTATAATAAATTCCCTTAGTTATATATATATTACTATAATATTCCGAAATACTATATCCGTTAATTATTCCGCCGTCTAAGTCTCTTTATAGGGCAAAAAGTATACCTATTTAGTAAGTTTATCGACTACCGTTAAGATACTATTGTACTTAACGCCTATAGTTATATCTTTAGATTCTGGTAACTTAATAATAAAGTCTATCGATACCGAACTCTATAATTACTCTACTATTAATAATAGTTCTAAAAATTTATACGGTTTATATCTCTCTACTCTTATTCTCCTATAAAGGTTATACTCCCGTAACGTTTTTTTTATATCTTTTCTTATTTTTAGTTAATTAAAATACTATTTAATCTTTTCTATCGTTTTAACTACTCCTATATATCTCCCGAGCTTCGACTTATAGATCTTTTAAATTAATATCTTCCGTTATTCTAGGTCGATATAGGCCCTATTATTATATTAAAATCGGTAACGGTTATTTTTTTAAATTCCTAATAATTCTAACTTAACCCATCGTTCTTAATTATCGTTATCAATATTACTTTAGTATTTATAAGTAGTAGATTTTTCTCGATATACTACATAATATTTAGCCTACTACTAAAGCGGGTACCGAAGTATACCTTCTACTATTTCTTATAATAAGGATAGTAATTCCTCTCCTACTTTCTCTTTATAGTAATCCGCTTTTCTACTTAAAACGTCCGCTTTTACATTCTTAAATCCCTTTTTATAATAGATTTAAAAGTTAAACTCGGATAAAAATTCTAATTACCTACCTTACCTAACGTTAAGGACCTTAATAGTAATAAAATACTTTAGATTTTTATAATTAATATAAACCTAAACTTTATAATTAATACCGCTAAAGTATAGTCTTTACTCCTCGAAGGCCTTAATAATAGTAAGTAGCTCTTTATTATAAATAAAGTAATTTTTACGTAATTTTTCTAATTTCTTCAAAAAGAATACTATTAAGTATAATTTCCCATCCTTATCTCGTTACCTTAGCTACCCTCCGATAACGTAGTCGGACGTATCTATCTCGATCTTAAAAGGTCATCTTAAGTCGGAGAATTTAAATATTAGGTCTACTATAATAACGTTTTTAATAATTTAAAAAGCCTCTTCCTACTCCTTTCCCTACTTAAATTCGGCGTCCTTTTTAATTAAGTCATTTAATAGTTTCGCTATAGCGCCGTAGTTCCGTATAAATATCCAATAGAAATTCGTAAATCCTAGAAACTCTCGAACCTTAATCTTTAATCGTTCGGCCGTTTTTACTTATAGTCTCGGCTAATCTTTAACTACTACAATCTTCCTTAACTTTATTTATACTTCTCCTAATAAAATTAAATACCTTAGGTAGACCGTTTTCTATATATAAAACTCGCTTTTATCCTTATTAACTAATAGTCCTATTCTATATAGTATATCTAAAATCTCTTTAACATACTATTTATATTCCTCTAAAGTACAGAAGTAAATAAAAATATCGTCGAGATAATAGATTGCTATTTTATTAAGATATTAGCGAATCGTGTAATTAACGAGGGCTTAAAAAGTCGCAGGTACATTTATAAGCCTAAACGGTATAACGAAGTATTCGAAATGTCCGTAAAGTATACAAAAAGCTATCTTCTACTCGTCTTCCTCCTTAATTTATATATACGTATACCCAATTAGTATATTAAGTCTAGTAAACTATTATACCCCTAATAGTTAACTTTTTAACTAAGAAATCAATAATAGTAGATAACCGTTCTTCACCGTCTCTTAATTTAGCTATTAATAATCTATATATAATCGCGGACTCCTATCCTTCTTCGGTACGAAGAAAATAGGATATCTAGCCGGCGATATAGATACTTTAATATACCTTCTTTTAATATTTTCGTTTAAATACTTCCGTAACTTTTTACTTTACTTATCGTTAATATAGTAGACTTAAAAGAGCTTAAGCTTTACTCTTTCTTTAAGCTTAATTTTATAGTCCTATAATCCCCTCTTTAGTAAACCTTAAAAGTATTTTACCGTAAATACTAGATACCCCTAGTACTCTACTAATATCTCCTTTTTATTGCCCTTCTTTATATTATTATAATAGGCGTATTTATCCTTCATTATTACCGTAATTTCCACTAACGTAACTATTCTTACTAACCTTACTTCTTTAATTTTACCGCCTTTATCGATTAAATATATTAATACTTCTTGTATCTTTTACGGTAGTACTATAGAGGGTACTTGTCCTATACTTTACTTCCGCCGTACTCCTAATCTTCTATCGTTAGTCGAATATTCCCGATATACCCTCGGTTATAGGTAACTACCGTCCTTTTAATTGATATCCGGGTTATAATCTTCGTACTATAATTATCCTAGAATTATATTTTTTTTTAATCTTATATCTACGATATCGAAAATTACTATCATTATTTTTCCTAATATTATAATATCCAATAGTAACGTCTCCTTAATTACCAATTATATAGGGAAAGGTCCTTTTATAATAACCTTTTCCTCCTTCTTCCTTTATAGAACTCGGACTTATTATATAAATCTTAGTAAAATTAAATCTGCTTTTACTCTACTATCTACAAATACTTATACTTAAAAACCCTTTTAATATATAACTACTTGTAACCTCTTATCTTTTATACCCCTCCTCTATATAATAGCAACCTCGCTAATACTTTATTCGTAGTCCTTTAGAGGTTTACGGCCTTCGCGAAAGGCCGTAGCCTTTTTCCCGACTATTATTATACCTCTAAAGCGTTTTCTTTTATTAAACTATCTAGCAGTTCGAAATTAATTAATTATTATTATTAAGCTTCTTCTTATTTTTCGTCTTTTATATTTTATCGAATCCTCTTTTAATTGTATATCCGCCGCCCCTTTACTATAGCCCTAGCTTCGGCTTTAGCCTAAATATTATAATATTTCTTAGCTTTTAATTATAAGTAAAATATATAATCTAGGCTTTTATATTACACTAACTTATATTTTTCCTTATTAATAATATCTTTTCTTTAATTAATTATTTACTCAAGGTAATATTTTACGTACCTAAGTATAAACCGTATAACCTAGAGTTCCTTCTTTAATTTAACTAGGTTTTTCTATCTCTATAGGAAATAATCGTCTAACTCTTCCTATTATCGTTCCCACCTAACTATAATTTTCGTAACAAACTTAGGATCTCCGTTTCTTCCCAATTACTATACTAGTTAATATCCTTAGAGAGCCTTACTTTAATAATACTTAACGTACCTATATATAATACACTAGAACTAAAGTATCCTCCTATATTCTAGGTATTTAAGATATAACTATACCGTATCTTTATTATATAGTTCGTACTATTTATAGCGAGGTACTTATCCGGGTATTTATAAAAGCCTTATATTAGCGATTTCCTTACTTTCCTAGTACTTCTCCTAATTTAATTTCCTAAACTCGAACCTACCCTCTTTATAAGCTAACCATAGTAGCCTTCTACGGTATTACTTAAACTTAATCTCGGAGATAATCTATCGTTTATTTCTTTATTAAAGTTATATAAGTAGTTAGCGATTATTTATAACTTATATTACCTTATCTTTAAGGTTGTAATAATATTATTTAATTACTTCCCGTTAATTCCGGAGTTCTTTTATCTTCTCTTCGAATCCTTAAACTCGTTCCTTAATTTAATTTAAGGTCCCTCCCGAGTATAGGTCTAAAATACAAATTATATTTATAGTAAAAAACTACTTTATTCGTCGTAGAGTTTCCTTAGAGGGTCCTAAAGTAGTACTCTCCTTTAGTCTCGTAATTCCCCTAATTAGTAATTTTTATTTTATAATATAGTCTTCTCTCTTAAAGTCGACTATTAATTCTCTTTCCCGAGGTTTATATTTATAATCGTTATCGGTATAATCATCCGCTAAATCCCGAAAATCTTTATTAAAATACTCTATACCGGAGATCTCTATTACCTATATTATTTTAATAACTACTACCGTCTTTCTTTCCTTCTAACGGAGCTACTTAAGTGCCCGATAATCTCTTTTAAAATAACCTATCTTCCTATAATTAAAATACTTAATATTGTTCTTCCT